AACTGCCTCTGACAGGCTCCAGCTGCTGAGGGTCTGTAGGACAAAACCAGATCTAATGTTCAGTGAAGCCCCTGGAGTGTGCACAGTTCAGAAGCTGGATCCTCAGCAGCAGCTGTCCAGCTCTCCAAACCCTTTCCAGTTCTATGGCACTGCCTGCTGACATAGGCATGGTTGGCATTGACACACCCATACCATGGGCATGATCTGATTCTGCTCAGTGGCACACTGGCACTGAGTGACACTAAGGTAGGTGACCCCACAAAATGAGGCTCCTTCTGCTCAATAAGGCCAGGTAAGTTTGTTCTAACCTCAGTCACTGTGATACCCAGTTTCAGAAATAGTAATTAATAGGCTATTGTGCATCTGCAAACCCAGTTACAATGTGCTGCACAAATGCTTGTGGCTATCCAGCACAGGCAGGGGACAGGAATAGAAACACACAGCTGGGAAGGAGGCAAGGATTATTTAAGCTGGCTTTAGCAGCATCCAGTGTTGGTGCTGAATGTCACAGCGTGTCAGACCTTACCCTGCCAAGCTCCCTCTGGAACAACATCAGGGTGAGGAAAGGAGAGTTTGACCCCAAGTTAATTTGTGGCACAGGCTTTTGCTGCAGCTGTACAGGTGCTATTTTGAAAGCATGTTATTCTCAATATAGAGAATGGAGTTATATAAATATTTATGTTAAAACTTTATTAATTGAATGGAGTAATAAAGCAATTTTCCATCACAACTCAGTAATGCTTAAATCCTGGGATGCTGAGACCACTGCCTTCCAAGCTGATGAAAAATGCCTCATCATCTTATCCCTAAAACACCTCATTCTGTTATTGACCTTGCCTTTTGTAATGGCTTAAATCCCTGGAATGTGAGCAGGCATTGCTGGCTCTGCACAGCCCCTCGCCCAGTGGGGATCCTTATCACAACTGCAGCTCCTGGGCACGACATGAATGTAAACAGAGCATAATAATTCATAAATATTGTATAAATAATGAGTGCCAGGAGACCAGGGAGCAAGAGGAATGTGATTCAACCCCTCCCTCCCACTTTTCCTGCATTTATTTCCATCACAAATGACTGACAGATTTTTGCACTGAATAGCTAATACATATCCTTTTCCTGGGGCAGCCAAACCCGGGGAAAAGTGACAAAAAGACATCTATAACACTTCAGCACTTGGCAACTACTGTGTTCTTCAGGTGGCATTTGCTGCTTGGCCTCCACAGTATTCACAGTCATGCAAAAATAAAAGTAATGCAAAAATATAAAGTTAGTGATGCACAAATTTGAATATATATTTATATTCAATTGAATATATATCTATATATCTATATCTCTATATATCTCTATATCGCTATATATCTATATCTATATCTCTATATCTCTATATCTCTATATATCTATATATCTATATATCTATATCTATATAGTTACTTATATCTATATCTATATAGTTACTTTTGATGTTTTACTGTCTAATTTACTGATACATCCTGAGGAAGAAGCTAGATCCAGTAGACAGCAGTAACATTTCAAAGATGATGATTTTTTTTTTTTGTTTCTATAATAGTAAAATGGGAAAAAAACCCAAAACCCTAGGGAAATTAAAGCAACTTCCAAGAAAGCTAATTGCAAAATGAATTCAAATTGGCTAAATGGTATCAGAAAAAAAACTTTTTAAAAATATTTTTTTTCTAAAAGACAAATTCCAGTGATCCTGAAATTTTACTTTTTACCCTTTCTAAAGGTAGAATTTTTCTTTTTGTAATGTGAGCTATTTTGCTCTTTAGAAAAAAAACCAGCACAAATTAAAAGTAAAGAGAGGGAGATAAATTCTTCCAAAGGTTAATAAAACCATTAACTTCTTCAGACTGAGGAAAAGCGAGTAGAATCTGTTTTAAATGAGATGCAAATTTGATTACAATGGCAGTGAAGAACAGCCTGCTGTTTACTTTGGAGAAATTATGAATGAAATGTGGCCTTGGTACAGTATAAACCATATTTTAACTGAGGAAGGCAGCCCAACAACACTGTAAGGAATCTTTTTGTGTGCACCAGCTTGGTAGTTGGCAAAGTGCAATTTGCAATTCCAGAAGAAAAGAATCGTAGGCAATCAAAACATTCTCATTTATTTTTGAAAATGGTCCCATTGATTTGCTCTTAAGAGCCAGTGCAACAGAGGGAAATCAATGCACTGTCCATAAGCCACAGAGTGAATTGCAGATATTAACCACAGACACATTGCTTTGGAGGGAGAAGGTTGTTCTCTTCCTAGTGCTCACTGAAATAGAAATATTCCCATTGCAAGTAAGAGATTTTCATGGCGAAGGAGGAAATACCAGAGTTCCTCTTCCTTTAGATATAACTACAGCTGCCACAAAAAGCTTCTTCAGTGCAAAGAAAGCTAAAAATAAATTCAGGCAAAAATTCTTATGCAGAGCTGCTTTCCCTGGGTTTTGAGAGTTTTCATTTTCTTGCCAAAAAACTAATGTTCATGCCAGTAGTTTTGTATTTTTCTGTTATAAAACACAACACACAACTATTTCTCAGTAGTACATTTACAGGCACTTCAGAAAATGTTCTAGTCCCAATCAAATCTCTTTTATCCACTATATTGTCTGCCAGGAGACCCTCTTGTGTTACTCTCGTTTTGAGGAGGTTCCTTCTCAAAACAGACTCTTCAGTCTCTGTTTAATGCAGAGCAGACCCTCTCTAAAAAGCCCACAAAAGCTTTCTCAAAAACATATTTCAGAAGAGGAAAGAAACCTCCCTAAGAGAACCTCCAAAGGAACACAGAAGCACATGGAAGTGGGTAGGGAATGCCAGGGAGGAATATAGAGGTGTTGCCTTGGACACACAGGGATGAAAATAGAAAGGACAAAGCACTGTTGGATTAAAAACTAGCAAGGAACATGAAGGGTAACAAGAAAGGTTTCTGTAGTTACTTTGGCATCAAAAAAGATGACCCAGGATTTTACTAATGTTTGTCTGGAAGCTGCCAGGAGCATTGAGGCCAAACAAACAAACAAAAAAAATTGTTGCATGACTTTTTAATGGCCAACATTTAGAAATAAAGTTCCTCTCACTGTCTACAGTGCCATTTCTAAATCCGGTACCCTTCACCTCAGGAAGAGTGGTGTATTTGTCCAATCTATCCAGCCATTTGTACTTCCAAGTGTGGAGTTACTAAATCACATCCCTTTCTGTTAACCAACATTTAAACTTGAACTCAAGCTGCTGGCAATCAGGTAATACTGAGAGTGCATGACTAATTGCCAGCCTACGCATTTCCTTACTGTCATCCAGTGACAATGAATTGCAAAAATGCAAAATTAATCTTTCAGGTTTTTTTTTCCCCTATGCTAACTCAAGTGGAAGGCTCATAAAAACAGCACCCAGCTGTGAATCTATGGAAAACACGCTGAATGCAAACAGAAAACTACCCACAGGGAGGAAAAACAAAAAAGCTCTGATCAAAGCGTGAAAAAGGGCAAAACAAAAGTCTGTCCTTGAAATCCCTGCAAGCATTTTAATGGTGACCCTATGCATTGTGCTACAGCACTGAACTGCCTGGGAAACACAAGTAGAATAGAGATGATATTGCAAGAGAGATATATTTAGTGAATGATAGTGCAGACTAAAGACATGGGAGCAAAAATGATGCTTGGACCCACTGAGAAGCTCAGCTCCTAGTCCCGAAGCAGAAAAGTTCTGTAGTGCATGCTTCTCTTAAAAGATGTTAATGTTCAGTTAAAGCTATATAAATTATACATCTAAAGTCCTGCCTGCACTTAAATGCATTTTTAGACTGGCTCTTCAGTACCTCCCAAAAATCAAGCTCTTCCCTGGCTCTTGAATGCTCACTTTTAATAATGAGATTTCTCATTTCTTAATGTCCTTTAGTCACTTAGTGTTTTGTAGCATCACTAATATATATCAGTGGAGAAATGTAGTATGAGAGAAACCCATCCTTTCAAAGAGTGGTTTGAAAGTAGTGTTTTTCTCCTACTGTAGGTGGTTTAACGATAATGGGTAAATGTTTTAATTTGTGCATTGAAGAACGCAGCTTCACTGGGACGCCAGGTGCCCACCAGAGCTGCTCCATCACTACCCTGGCTGTATGCAGGACAGGATGCTTTCTGTCTGTGTCATCTCTTCCTCAATTTCACAAGCGGGACTTCAGCTTTTGTGATCAAACAAAAGCTCTGGAAGCTTGTGGACAAGCCCTCAGTAAGGCTGGGAAGGGTCTGTAGCAGTTTGCAGGCACATTTTCCACTGCTGCCTACAGAAGCGACAGAGGGAACGATTTGCCTTTTCATCAGATGCCGCCTTCTGGATAAATACTTAACATAACGCTGAGGCCTGTGCTGTGGTCCTGAGATTTCCTTTCACCACGAGTTATACCGTGTATCACCTTCTGAGGGCTGAGGGGAGCGGGACTGAGGGGAGAGGGGATGAGAAGATCCGGACTGAGGGGAGCGGGGATGAGGGGAGGGGGGCTGAGGGGAGAGTGAATGAAGGGAAAGGGGCTGAGGGGAGCGGGTATGAGGCGAGCGGGCTGAGGGGAGCTGATCTGAAGGGAGCCGGGCTGAGGGAGGGAGCTGAGGGGAGCCGAGCTGAGGGGAGACGAGCTGAGGGGAGCTGACCTAAGGGGAGCGGGCTGAGGGGAGTGGAACTGAGGGGAAGCGGCTGAGGGAAAAGGACTGAACGACCTCCGGGGGCCGCCGGGCAGGGTCGCGCAGACCCCGCCTCCACCCCAGGCCCCGCCCCCTCAGGCCCCGCCCCCTGCTCTACCCCTTTAAGCGCGCGCGGGGCGGGGCCGGGCGCTGTCACGTGCGGCGGCGGGAGCGGAACCCCAGCTCGCGCCCGCTCCGCCCGCTCGCGCCCCGGCTCCGGGGCAGCGCCCGCGTGCGCGCGCGCGCGGCTGCTCGGGAGCGCGCGTCCCCGCGCCGGCCATTCCCCCTTCCGCCCCGGGGCCGCGCGCGGCGGCGGCGGGAGCGGCGAGAGCGCCCCTTCCTCCCGTGCCGCCCTCCGTCCCTCTCCGCCCGCGGCTCCCGGCGCGCCAGCATGGAGCTGTTCCAAGCCAAGGACCACTACATCCTGCAGAGCGGGGAGCGGGCGCTCTGGTGCAGCCGCAGGGACGGCAGCCTGCAGCTGCGAGCCGGTGAGGAGACCCCCGCGGCCGCGCCCGCCGCCTGCGCGGGGAAGGGCGGGCTGGGAGCCGGCCGAGCGCCGGGGTCGGGCGGGGCCGGTCCCCGGAGGGTCCGTAGCGCTGCCCATCGCCCCGCAGGTCGCAGGAGCTGCCCCGGGCCGCGGGACGTCCCAGTGTCCCGGCTGCCGCGCCTCTCCGTGCGGTTCTTTCCCCGCTGATAAAGCAGCGCTGTGACCGGAGCGGTGCCGGTGGCCGGAGACAGCCGGGGATCCCCGGGGAGCAGCGCTGGGGCCGTGAGGGGCCGGTGTCCGCCTTACATAAGGGATGCTCCGGGCATTGCGTCTGTGGGCAGATGGGTCCTAGAACAGGTGGATCCAGCGGGGTCAGCGGTAAGGTCCATTCCAACCCTTTGACGTTCTGTGATTCTGTGCCTTCTAAAGTGCTTCTGAATTTTTCAGTGATTACAGGCTGTGTGACAATTGCACTGTGTGTTAGTACAAGACTGAAGGGAAGGCAGCGCGAACAAAAATTGAGCTGGAGTTGTGTAAAAGGGAATTTTGAAACCATGGTGATTATCCTGTCCTACCTAGGGGTAAAGGTGTCTCCAAACTAAAATGCCACCCTTGCTTTGTGCCATGTGTGCTCCCTGCCCGTGGCAGGAGGTTGGAACCAGATGGTCTTTAAGGTCCCTTCCAAGCCAAACCATTCTGTGAGTTTTTGTCATTCTCTGTGATTCTGATATGTACTTTGATGTAGAGGACCACGCTGACTCTGCTTGTATGAGAAAGAAATTCTAAATATCTGTGTGTTTCACCAAACGTGTGGCAGGCTGCAGGGATGTTACTTACAGCTTTCTAAAACTGGGATCTGTGTTATGCCAAAAAAGGTGGCTAAATGTGTATATGACCAGGCTGGCTATCCATGTAGAGTAGACTTTATGAGCTTCTGTGATAGGCTGGACAAACTTTAAACATAACCATCAAATACCGTTGTTATCTGTGTTTTTTCAAAGAACTGTTTTTCATACTGCACTTTATTGTGCTATGTTTTCATTCTTGAGTTGTGTCTTCTCAGAGCAGTTTGTTTATGTCTCTTAGATAAAATAGCAATCTGTGTCGAGTTAGCATGACTGATTCCTGTCCATCAACGTCACTAATCTAGCAATACTTTGATTTGCAAGTGACCTTACAAAACAATTTGTTTTAAGCTAGCAGACAGTACTGCTGTTCAGTGAAATGTGTGCTTTCACAGGGGAGAAAACCCCTCGGGTTGAGGTTTGTGATGGTTACAGCCATCTGCATGGGCTGAAAGCTCTTCCTTGGCCCACAGTAATTAAAACAACTAATGGTCTGTAGTTCTGGAGATGAATGTTTGATACCCTCAACTTTTAAAAGCATCAGCGCCTTGCTTTCACGCAGCCATTGCTGGGTTTTATTTTTTCTTGGTGTGCTTTAACCTGCTGGAGGCTTTGCCAGTGCCCAGCAGTTTGTCAGCCTGCTGTTCCAGCAGCGTTTTGTCCTGTGCCTGCCTCTGCATTTTCAGGCAGTTTCCATGTGATCCCTATTGTGTGTGACCTGCAGATTAACTAAAGGTAATGTGATATTGAAGTCCCCTGGCCTGCTTGGAAACTCTCAATTGTTAGCAGTGCTTTCCCATTTCCATGTGTTTGCAGCTTGGTTTTTCCAGCCCTCTCTGTGGATCATCTTCTTGACAGTGGACTCCAGGTCTGTGAAATAAAATATCTTAGCAGGTTGAAAGTAAGCCCAAGAAAGAAACATTTCTCTCACAGGAAGTGTTTCTTGGATCAATAGCTCTTTCTTGTATTAAGACAAAACTTCATATCCTCAAGTTTGCAATTTTATTCCATTTGACCATTTATTATTGAGGCCAATTTCATGCCCGGAAATGAGTAAATGAATTTCTGTGTGATGAGTCACTGCTGTGTTAAAAAAAAACAACAAAGTCATAACTTGTGTTCATTGACATGTTTAATAATCTGCCAAAAGGTGATCTAGCTCTGTGTCTCTGCTTGGTTTCAGAGGCCTTGGTTTTAAAAATTCTGTCTCACAGAGGCTGCTCTGAATTAATCTTTTCACATTCATGGGTTGAAATAGATAATACTGGTAAACCTTGGAAATCATTGCTTGAGAGAGTAGGTCTGAATCTAAAGCTAAGCTTGAAAGTACTCTCCTCCCTCAGCTGTAAAGGCATGTTCAGAAATTTGCCAATATTGAAAGCTGTATTTCTGACCTCTTTGAATCATGGAGATAACAGTTTGAATTAAAAAAGAAAAAAGGCAAATAATCTTGGTAAATATTTGCCATAAGCAAAGTCTGAGGTTGGCCCTCGTTTGAAGGATGTCAGCCTGTGTTTACAAGATGTTTCTGGGTTTTTTTATTCTCTAAAGTGAAAGCACTAATGAGTCACCTGCAGGAAATCCATGAATCACTTTGGCATCATAGACTTTTTTTTTTTCTTTCTTTTTAAATAATTTGGCTGCTGAGAGTGTGCATTTTTCAGTGTAGTGAAAAAACATGAGCTGTTCAACCATGCCTTAAATACCTTACATGAGGTCTTGGTCAGGATTTCACTCTTGGATTACTCTGTTTATGCTCTGGGTGGCTGCTCCTGACTGGTTCTACACAGATTAGAAATATTTTTTATTGATGATGTTTATATTTGCATATATGTACATATATATGTGTGTGTAAAGGATAAAAAGTGTTGAAGACACTGAATTTTTCTCACTATTTTTTAAGTGCAGTAGAAGGAGTGACACTGTTATGGTGTAAAGCTTCTATTATCATTGTGCTGGCCTTGATAATACTCCAGGCACTAATGTCAAATAAGTTCTACTAAAACTGTTTCTTCTAACTGTGCTGATTCCCATTGCAGAGAAAAAATCTACCAAGTATTTTGAGGGATACTCAGATTGGAATTTAAGTCAGCTTTTGGGGATGTCATGCTCAAAGACTTGATTGCCTCTGCCTGAAAGAGAAAGATGGGTTAAGCTGTGTTTTACCTCTGGCACTGTAAACTAGAGGCAGATGGGCATTTGTTTGTTTCAAACAAACACTTCAGGAATTTATTGTCGCAGAATTCATTTTCATCTGTTGAAAATGGTTGTGAGTCAGCAACTGAAGCAATGCACTTCAAATACTTGCAGTGAGGGATGTGTTACCAAACAGAATTTTCAGAGCAGCAGGGGACACATTTCAGGTGAGGTGTCTCAGTCTGATCGTGTGAAGTCATCTCTGAATCACAGATCATAAGGCCATCTAATATTCCAGCTGTGTGCTTTCCTCCCCCTCAGGGCATTGCAGGAGCCATGGGGAGGTGACTGGTCAGGATTGCTGAGCTGCTCCTCGTGCTGCAGCCTGGAGGAGCAAGAGCAGCTCCTTTGTGGGAGCCTGGGAGTGCCCAGTGAAGGCCTTGAGCTCATGAATGGTGTAAGGAGTGATGGCTCTGCCACCAAAGCATTTATTGCTAAGTTTTGTTCTGCAGAGCACTCCTAGACATGGCTCTGAGGGGTGACAGCCTGAGTGTGAAGTCGTGCTGCTGAATTATTTCATACAAAAGTGCCTTCCTGAATTTCACTAGTATGTCTTGGAAACTGCCTATCTATTCTGGGCAATGAATTCCACAGGAGGCTGGAGCTTTAGTATTTCAAGTCACTTCAGAAGGAACCTCAAGCTGTTTTTTGACACCTTTTTAGCTGCAGTGGTACTGCACTGTTTCTCACCCTTGCTTGCTCATTCTGTTCCTGTGTTCCCTCCCCTCTCTGGGTTGTCAGCACCACGTCCTTGTGGCGTCTGTGACAAACCAGATGTCAGAGCTGATCTGCTTTAGCTGCAGAATGTAGGCTGAAAAAATCTGCAGCACTTGGGTCCCTGGTGCTGCTTTTGCCTTCTTGTGATGGAACAGAGGGGAGCAGGGGAGTGGGCTGGGCTGCTGTCTCCTTCCTGATTAAATATTGCATACATTAGTCACTGGTGTCATTTCTGACTCTTGAGACAAGCTCCTCCTATGTATTTATAAGAGGGAAATGATTTTATACCTTTTATAAATAAAACCGACTTTGTAGTTCCACCTGCAGTTCTTTTTGTAGAACGTAGTAAAATTAAAACTGAGGCTTAAAGTGGGTTGGTAGTGTGTTAAAGCCTAGCCTGGTGAGAATTGAATACACCTTGAGGTGAAGTGTTTCTTTACTTACCTGTAGTCTTAGTAGGGTGAATATGACAAGGTGTTCAGTATGAGTTGAATATGACAAGGGTGTTCCCCTCTCTTTTTGTTTTCTCCTTTTCCTTCTCTGAAGAGTTCTGAATATGCCAAACTTGTTCCAACTCAGATGTGTAGATTTCTTGGAATTCTTGTCCATGCTGAAATGACCTGAGGTTTTAAATACAGGAAAAACTCCTAATGCTTCATATCTTGATATTCTGATGTTACTGGTTCTTTTTTTTTTTTTTTGGTTTTTTTTTTTTTGCCTTCCCCCAGAGTTAAAATTAATCAAATTCAAGTGGATTTCTTGTATTTTGCTGGCAGAAGTGACTCATCTTTGATCTCATCAGTTAGTATTAACTAAATATTGAGTAGGAAATTGCAGACTAACTGCAGCTAAAATATTTAGATAGAGGACACTGCTTTCAATTAAGAAAGGTCTGCATCTGTACCAAAGGCTTGTGGTTTTTTCATGAGAACACTGCTCTTCTTGTTAGGTTGTTTCACACTTTAATGGTGTGGGTGATATTTCATGTGTATGTGTAAGGAAACATGAAAACTTTTGTGATTTTAAGGTTTAAACTCTGAACTGCAGGATAAGGCAGCCACTTGTTTGATGTGCTGGTTGTGTTCTTTGAAAACAACTGTTGCAGATTGGAATGGGATAGAAAATAAAGTAATGGGAGTGGAGTATCAGAAGAGAAATTATTAGTTGTGTATCTAGAGGGAGAATTTGGAAATAGTGCAGAAACTGTTTTTTATTAAAGCTTGGCTTTAGTAAACAGGAATAT